TAATATACATTAACATGCTGGTCCTCTTTGAAGCATGTTTGTTCTTGTTTGTAGGGTGTCCAAACCCATTTGAACTGAAGGACTGCTAATAATAGATCATTCTTAATATACATTAACATGCTGGCCCTCTTTGAAGCATGTTTGTTCTTGTTTGTAGGGTGTCCAAACCCATTTGAACTGAAGGACTGCTAATAACTGATAACATAAGAAGAAGAGGTTTAATCCATTAACTGCGGATAACGGATATTTCCGTCATTGAAGTTCCGTGAGTCGCACATATGTAACTATAACTCTATGGGAATGACGTTAATTGCTGTTTTATTGTGATTGATGGCAACTCAGTTTTATCTGTGAATCAGAAAACGGCAACTGAGCTGCTCCTGCAGCAGTTAATGTTTTAAGATGTATCATTACGTTACTTTGTGGAAACAATTCACAAAAATTTTTCCACATTGTCAGAGTAGACAATCTGTTGGACTTAAAGCCATCATTCTCATCTGTCAGACATTATCATACTTTTGCTAAGTATATATGCTACATCAACCTTGTCAACATTAAGCAAAGCTTCTGTGACTTTCTATGGAGAGACATTGTCCGATCTATGAAGGATCCTCAAAGTTTATGGTCATGCGACATAGATGAAGTACAAGTTTCTTACATTGCTATAGGATTTAAGAACTCTTCAGACTTAGTGACTAGAGAAGTAGGTAACTTAGCTGCCAGTTGCTTCACAAGAGCATTGAAAGTATGCAAAGCAAGGCTAAATTATGGGTTATCTAATTTATGGATGGTGATCTCTGTAGTGACAGGTTCCAAACAGTTAAACATTTTATTATCTCTCATCCTAAAGACACCATTTTCAAAGTTTGATTTGGTCCTTGTATGCTCTATACAGGATAATTGTGTTTTTTTTTTCAAGTGCATTGATTTCCCTCAGAGTAATATGGTAGGATCCAAAGAATAGTAGGAGTTTATGTAGGAAATTCTATGCAGAGTTAAAGTGTATTCTCCAAATTTGACTGAATTGTGAAAGATGAAATAGACTGGCCACAGTTTGTAGCAATAGTAAAAGAAAGATGGTGCCTTTACTGGTGACTGTGAGCTTTTGAATAGAACAGTGAAGAAAATCTTTCAAAAGACCATTCCAGATTGAAAAAAATATGATATTGTATACACAAAAGAATAATTATGTTCTTTTCCAGGGCACTTGCACTGTCCACATCACTATTGATCATTACCTTCGAAAAATAAGGAAGGTTGTAACCTCAATGTGTGTGTTCAACTTTACAGAAATCTTTTCCTTGAGAAGATACATGTGATACTATTGGTAAATGATCCATGATGAGAGGTAATTTGGGCAAGAGTGATTTATCCACTTCTTTTACAAAAGTTTGAAAAATTTTGGGAACTGTATAGGAGTTCACTACAGCAAGTAAAAGGGAAAGAAAATGCCAGCATACCCACATACTTCACAGATATACATGTTTTCAGAAATTTTAAAACTTTGTTTGACCCATACTTTTATGGCAGAGAATGATAAGAGTGTCAGCATATTTTAATTGATAGATTCATCTTTCCATTTTATCTTGATTGTGGAGTGTAATTTCAGATTAATCATGTCTGTTAAGAAAGTTAAGATATGCATGATAAAATCACAGAATATTATTAAACATGGTATTTTTCTTAATTGCAAAGTTGTTTTTCCTGCTGATAGCATAATCTGTTATCTATCAAGGAACCTGCCAATACCATTTTATTTGGTGTTTGGGGTGCTTGACTCGCAATCTGAGGGTCGCGGGTTTGATTCACAGTTTCGACAAACATGCTCGCCCTTTCAGCCGTGGGGGCATTATAATGTGACAGTCAATCCCACTATTTGTTGGTAAAAGAGTAGGCAAAGAGTTGACGGTGGGTGGTGATGACTAGCTGTATTCCCTCTAGTCTTACACTGATAAATTAGGGACGGCTATTGCATATAGCCCTTGTGTAGCTTTGCGCAAAATTCAAAAACAAACAAACCATTTTCTTTCAATCAAATTATAATATTATATTAAACATATAAGAAAGGTATAGAGGAAAATGATGATTTGCATTGCTTTACAAACTCATCTTGATAACTTAATTGAAACTACATTTTATCAAGAAAGAAACTAAGCGTATGTTATGTATATAAGTATGTAGATACCATGTAATTTATTAAAAATATAATGTGATATTCTTTTTAGTATAATTTTCTAGGGTTTTTCATGAATTTCATATGCTACTGTTATCTTGAATTATTTTTTTCATTTTATTTTCGTTAGGTAAATAGCTCACAGGAAGTTAGAGCATTGATCTTGGCACCTAGCAAAGAATTATGTAAACAGATATATAAGAATGTTCAGGTATGTAAAATGTTGACTTTCTATTTATTATAGGTAATATATAATGAAACGTAATAGAGAACTATCAACAAATTCTGAAAGAGAGGATGTGACAGGAGGGGTCTGAATTTCTAATCAATAGCTCTGTAACCAAACAAAATTGAAGTCTATAAAAATTATAAAAACTTTATAGAGAGTAATTTACATTTAATTTTGCACTTTTTTGAAGAGTGATGGATAAAATAGGGATGATGACATGCTAAGAAAAAATGGGTCACACTAGTGGAAATTCAGGATTTTTTTAAATATTGCCTTGTAGAATTAAGAACTTAAAACATATATACTATTAAAATATGGATTATTAAGTAAGAGTTTAATGAGATTTTTGTTACGTAGGAACTTGTTGCTTGTTGCACCAGAGAAGTGAGAGCAGTAGATGTGTCAGGACAGATAGATATAGCTTCACAACGGTAAGAGAATTAGAACCTCCTATACTTTTATGCTGTTTCGGCTAACATCAGCTATATTAACAAACAACTACCTGACTAGAAATTTAAAATTTTAAGTCTTAGCTGTCACCTCCTTACTGGACAAGAATTATCGAACTAGAACTGTCAAATAATAATTAAGTATTAGCCAGCAACAGATTTTTTGTATAACCAGATGTGTCATTATATTTTTAAAGAGTCTATCCTGTTTTATTATTGAAATTTCTCTTATCAAAAATATAGAAAAATATAATTTCAAAACTGATTCAAGTTATCCTGATAATCCAAGTTTACTGGCTTGATAATTTTTTGTTATTTTAGCTTATTTTCTATCTTCAAAACAAGGTGTTATTTTGAAAAATGTCAATTGTACTGCATGACTAACCGTATTATGGTAAGAACAAAAAATATAATATATAGTGTTTAAAGGAGAATAAAATGCCTACCTCAGAAATCAAATTAACTTATCCTTACCCATTAAACCGCTTACCCTACAATGCTCAGTCGTACGCAAGCAAAACCAACACTACACTACAAAGCTGTGACTTACACCTTTTCACCACATTTAGGAGAGGTAATCTAACGAACTATGCACAAGACAAGACAGAAGTAAAAACACTTTATCGATGGCCATCTTTTACTGCACATGACATTGGGTTTTAGTGTCTTACTTTCAAAATGTTATTAAACTACTTTTTGTTTGTGTTATACCAATTAATATAGTATAACCAATTAGCTAATAATAATAATAATAATGCTATTTTAATAGCATATAAGTTTTAAGTTCTTAATTCCATAAGGAAATATTTAAAAAAATCCTGAACTTCCACCTAGTGTTACACACATAATACATTTTTCTCTAGGCATCTTCTCTTCTCTATTTTAGTCACTACTCCTTCAAAATGTACGAAATTAAATGTAAGTTGCTCCCTATAATATTATCATTGCTCAGACAAACCATAATTTTTATAGCCTTCAATTTTGTTTTGTTACACAAGTATGAAATAGAAAATCACTCCCATCCTGCCAGACCTACTTATCACGTCCTCTAGTTCAGGCTTTGTTAATATTTCTCTCTTATGTTTAATTATATATTACCTATAGAAAGTCCAGGGGTTCATCTATCAAATGACATATTGTATAACATTGTGTTCTGAACAGATAAGTGTCAGTTCACTTGTAGTATAGGTTTCATTTCCACAGGAAAGATAATGACCAGCTTGGATGAGTTTGTAATGGCTCTTGTCGCATACTTAGAAAGCCAGAAAAATTGTGACTGTTAGAGTAAATTGTCTATTTTTTATGTTCTTTGGTGTATTATTTAATTAAATAAAAATTATTAATGCATTACTACCATTAGTTTAAAAAAATCTAGGGTTAAGTTTCATTGACAATCAACATCAAGAAAAAAAAAGAATTGGTAAGCACTTTACTTCTTGTTTTTTCATGTTTATTCTTTATTTATTATTATAAAAGTAACTAAAATGTAAAAATAGGGAACTCTTTTAGGTTAGTTAAGATAAATAATAATAATATAATAAAAAATATTTCACGAGGCATGCACGCAAGCAGCGTGTGGGTAATGTAATTCAATACCGTAACATAAGCTGCACGTTCCTCGAGTGATTTACAACTTATAAAGGTGCATATAGTAGTTAGACATGGTTCAAAGGGCAGTAAAATAATGAAATTTAATTATAAATAGATGTATACTGCTACAAGCCTAAAGCTACTTAGGATAAACGAACGAAGTTTCATGTTACAATTTGAAGTCACTCTAGAAAGAAAAAAAGGTTATTTTTATGGTTATGAAGTTGGTCAAATTGACAAATCCTGTTTAGAGATAGAGTAGAGAAAATAACAGACAAAATATTAAGTTTTACTGAAAACAAATATTTGAAATGTATTTAGGAGGTTTTTGGGTTTACACAAAGGAAATTTGAGATTTTTGAGATGAAGAAAAGTATTTTTCATTTTAACATGAAAATAATTTTGCACACGGACTATTCAAAACAAATACTCAGTATATTCATGGACAAAGCTTTATTTTAGTTTATTAAAAAATATGATTTTCTGTATGTGACAGACTTATAATGTTAACTGAAATACTGCCCTATTTTGTGAAGATGTATGCACTATATTGGATGTTTGAAGTATTAGATCTATAAAGGCTTCAAATGAGTACAAAGAGGTCACATGGTCGGTCAAATGCTTATTCTGCTTTCAAGTTCCTTAGGGCAATTGAAAGAAAGGAAAAATAAATTCCTCTGAACTCTTGACAGATGCCACACCCACTTTCTACACATAGAGTTGCGATTTCTTAGTCAATTATACTCACCTAGATGTTTATAATCAATGGAAAGAGCACTTTTTAAAATACATTCTCCTAACAGTTATTTTAAAACTGTTGCGAAGAATTCCATAGAGAACTAGTCAAACCTTTCTTAGCATTGCTGCTGCTTTTGTCCTTGCCACTTTAGCATTGTTGCTCACCTAGAAATATGTTAGTTAGATAGTTAATTATGTTTTAAGGTGCATATTTGAAAGGTTTAATAATTTGTTTTATATATGCCAACACTTCTTTGGTTCACAAGGGTTAGTGTAATACACAAATGCCACTATAGACCAGTGCTTTCCAAACTTTTTTGATGGCAACACACTATGTATCTACCAAAGAGAATTCGGCATCGCAGAGACAAGTATAAACTGGTGCGTTGGGGCTCACCGCTTTACCTGCCACTACATTAGGCTATGTTGGCAAAGCTTTTTTGTGTACGTGCCTAAAAAGAAATATATAAAACATTAGATAGTTTTTTGCATGCCGCGTCAGCAAGCAAATTAAGAAATGCTTTACGTTACTGAATTTTATAACAGCTATAAATAAAAATAAAAACAACAAAACATATTGTGCAATATCCAAAAACATAGTGACACCCCTCAGGGCACAATGAGGCACCCTAAGGTGCAATGTTATTGTATAATATGATGATAATAGCTACAGTTAGTAATAACGTAGAAAAAAATAATATATATATATATCTACACATTGACCTTAAATTAAAAAAAAAAACTTGATATACTCATAGGAGGTTCTAGTGATTATGCAAATGAAATTTGAAAATGATAACTTTGAAAAAAAAAAGTATTTTTATACTCATGTTGTTTTGTTGGTTACATGAGATGCTACCTGGGTGTACTCCCATAAACTTGGAGTTAAATAAAAACAGTTAATGCAGTAGTACCATTATTATAAAATAAAGTAGGTTTAAGTTTCATCAATTGTCAACAGCAAAAGAAAAAAAAAGACTCGGGAAGTACTTTATTTCTTGTTTTTCATGTTTATTCTTTATTTATTATTATAAAAGTAACTATAATGTAAAAATTAGAAACTTTTTAGATTAGGTAAAACAAAGAAAAAATAATAATGAAATTTTTTCATGGGGTACACTCGCAAGTATCCCATGGCTTATGTAATTCAATAGGGTAATGTAAGCTACATATTTGCCAAATGATCTACAACTTGTGTGGCAAGTTCAAAGGGCAATAAAACAATAAATTTTAGTAGAAACTGGTGTATACTGTGGTGAGTTTTAACTATTTAGGATAAACAATTGTTACAATATTAAGTCATTCTAGATAGAAAAAAGGGTAATTTATATTTATTTCATATTTTTTGTGGTGGTTATGAGGTTGGTCAAATTGACCCACCTTTAATAGAATAAGGGTTATGAAAATGTGTGAAATTTATTTAGGAGTTTTTATAGACTTGACAATTTTCAGGGGAAGAAAAGTATTTTTAATCTTAACATGAAAATCACTTTCCATTTGGAGTAGTCAACACTTTCGCTCCGTATATTTATGGAGGAATTTTTAGGGAAAATCCTTCATTAAAAATTCTGTTTTTTGTCTACAAAAGACTCTTAATGCTTACTGAAAGCTTCTGAAATTTCACGAAGATACACAAAACATATTAGATGTTACAATATGGAAACTATAAAGGTCAATTTGGGGTCATGAACTTGGTCAATTTGACTGAGCCTATAGTAAAAAAGTTCAAGTACAAAGAACTTGTACCCCCGAGTGACACCACATGGTCTCACCTAGAAGTCTCTCTATGAACTTGTCATTAATATTGTCCAGGGTCTATTGCTGCGATTTCAGGGTATGCCTTCTTATGCAAGTTGTACAGATCATCAATGAAAGCTTGCACATTCTCAGAGGGATATCTTTTATGAACCCTCATTTCAGTTTGGTGGATGACTTGTTTCTCCACCATGTTGAAATGTTGGTGCAACTCAGCCACAAATATGTCCTGTTCAACCACCCTCTCCTCATCTAGATTCAGGATGAGGCATTGCATCACTTACTCCTGAGACCAACAGCTCCAGTCAACTGCTTTCTGGAATCTTCTAAGGAAACAGTGCAGGTCTTCCTGTTCTGCTCCTTTAATCATCAGGAGAGTGATCTGCTTTACAGCTTTACGTAATCCACATGTACACATGGACACTATGCAGATATATCCTGGGTGGGCCTGGGTTTCATCTCATTCAATTAGTATTCCTGCTAATTTGCTTTTAATTTAGAGCTTACTATTTGAATATTATGTTGTATATTTATGTTATGAGACAAATTATATAAATATTTTGGCCCTGTTTACTTCTTAATATAAGTATTGTACATAAGCAAACATTTGAAGAAAAAATATTAGCATATGTTACTTAAAATTCTTGTGAATTAAGCCTAATTTATTTATTTATTGTTACTTTCATTAATAGTATTAGTTAAACTATTTAATATATCTAATTTTATCACTTTTTAACTAGATTTTTTTTGTTATTGTACTTTTATTATATTGTTTTTTATTGTCTGCTTAACCAAATGTACATGGCCCAATGAACCTTCCTCATATTGGAGAAGTAATATACATGTGTGTGTCTCATTTGAATTAACTTGTTCTAAGTGCGTGCTGTTTATTCATCACTGAATTTATCACTAACAACTCACAGACACCTACTGTAGAAGAATCCTAAGCCCAACAACAACATAGTATATGTTTATACTATTAAGAAATATAAGTAAAAGCCTTTTTTATTTTGACAGTTGGTAAAGAAATGATTTTAAAATTCTGACACTGTTGATTAATTTATTAGCAGATATCACTAATCACCCAGTTCTAAGGTAACTGTCATTTACCTTCATAGAAGATACAAGATGTGTGTTTCTTGGTTTTTGTTACTTAGCTTTTTGGACACAGTGTGTGTGTTTTTAATTGAATTATAGTGTTATGTGTAATGTATTACTGTTGTTTTGAGGTTTTAGGTGGTGTGTGTCCTGAATGAGAAGTGACAGACCTGAGAGGATCAAACTAACAAGAGTTTCAAGGTTACCTGTAGATAACCTGTGTTTGTCAAGCTATAAACAATACTTAAGATTCAAATGAAACAGATACCCCTAGTAACATAGTATTGAAAGTATGTCCTCATTATACATCTTATAAGATTATAGGTTATGTGTGTACATCACTTTGCTATTATACAAGATTTTTGCTTTAAATATTTTTGATTTTTTACATTTGCAGACCAGTTTTAGTTGAGAAACCAGATGTTGTTATTGGCACTCCAAGTAGAGTTTTAGCCCATCTACAAGCTAACAACTTGATTTTAAAAGATTCTCTTGAAATAATGGTTGTAGATGAAGCTGATCTCGTGTTTTCTTTTGGTTATGAATCTGATATCAAAGAAGTCCTGAGGTAAGTCTTTAAAATATCTAGTTATAATTGTTTTAGTAGAAAAAAAACTGCATAGTTTAATCAATAGCTGCTTTCCAGTTTACTGATTGAAAAACTCTTCACTCTTAAACTTTGTAAAATGAAAAAGTAATGAGAATGCAATGTTGCGTGTTGAACTTAGAAAAAATAAGGAAGGAGAATAAACTTAAGTAGCGTAACTTATTTCCACTGTTATCTATATTGTTATATAGTACTGTTAAATATATGGTATATAAATTAGGTAAAATTTATTACAGCCCCCTATTTATATGAATGTCATATGTGGCTATTTTTACAAACATTTAAAAAAATAACTTGCATAGCTGACTTCTGTAAGTCTACTTTGGATTTGAAGCTGAAAATATTGTTATCAGTAAAGATACGCAATTCATGATATATTTCAACTTAATCAATATGTGTTATATGAGATTTGATTTTTTTCAATGCCTTAAGAGTTTTTTGGTGTTTTCCATTCTTATGTCATAGGCTTACATGGCTATGAGACAGTATGAATACTTTGACTAAGTTATGCACTGATTTTAGGACTTAAGATTTAAATTCATTTCATGTATTTGTAAAAGTAAATTTGTATAAATATGGTGATGATTTTTCTCATTTACTGAAATCAGAATTTGTTTGTACTTACAACACCTTGTACTTCACTAGGCATATTATTCTGTTCTAGGTTTAAGCAGAGATTTACATCATTATGTATGTGAATGTAAGTTTTGTATATGGTATCAGAGATTTTGTGTACTGACACCAATTTTTTACAACTGGGTGACTGTGTTAGTGAATGTAACTAATGCAGTTGAAAATGTAATTTTTAGGCTGTTTGTTTATTCAAAAACTAACAGAAAGTAAAAAACATTTGTTTTTGTTTTTTTCAGGTATTTGCCACAAATATATCAATCTCTTTTGATGTCAGCGACACTTACAACAGATGTACAGTCTCTGAAAAAAATTGTGTTACATAATCCAGTTATTCTCAAATTGGAAGAACCCCAACTTCCAGCCACATCCCAACTTACACAATACATAATCAAGCAAGTTAAATCCTAATTCAATGTTCTGTACTGCCTAAACTAGCATTTAATGTAATTCCATTTTAGAAGCCTTCATTTTATCTTGAATCTAAATGCTTATAATGTTTTTGTTCATTGATTATAAGCAATCTTTTTACAAATATATGTGAATAAAAACCTGTGCTTGTTTTTATAGTAAAATAACCTTGCAAACCATACTTACCTCTGCTGACACTATAGCTATTTCTTGATCTCCAGGGTTCCACTCTTTGCCCATCTAAGCGTTGAAAATGCTTGCTCCAGTCGATTGCCCTTGGCAAATTCAAATTTGCAAATTTCTCCACCAACTTCAGTGCACCCTCTATCTAGATACTGTATATAAGCACCTCATTCAGATAATCTAATCACTCTTTCTTGACAGAGCAATCGGTATGGGTTTCTATAAGCATGACTGTTATGATTATTCACAATTTACGTTGCGACTTTGAAAGTGGTTTGCATTACTAAGTTATATCTTCATATATTTATAAATTACTTTAATAATAATAATATAAAATCATGTACTGATGAGTATGAATTCCTCGAGTTAATGTTTTTATTATGGAGGCCATTCAGACCTCTATTATTTGGTATTTATCAATGACCAGGGGAGGGGTCACTCTCATTTGAGGCTGTCTGTGATGTGATCCATCATGAGATGGACACACACATATGCGGACCGAGGGTATCTTTCCATGGGGGTTCTGAGGCAGCTTTTACAAATGACCCAGACCAGCTGAGGAGTATTTAGACTCATTTATTCCGGCTCCTTCTTTTACTAGGGTGGCCTCAAACAGAGGATCATTTTGATCAGCCACCTCCAGCCCCTTTTCTTCATTCGGTTACTCAGGTTTATGAGGTTTTGGGTGTCTCTCCTATTGCATTTGACTACCCCTTCCTTATTGGCAGCAAGGATGGAAAGTGACTACTTGCTTTTTCATCTTCCTCCTGATATTTCTGTTCATGCTTGATGATTTGCCACTCAGTTATGTGATGGGATAGCTATGACTGGTCCCCAGTATTTATCAGAACAGCATGTATTGGCTTATCATCGCTAGGAGGAAGTATGTTTAAATTCTCAATGAATGGACTCATGGGGGTTTTAATTGGAACCTGTGATCACTTTAAACAGATCACAAGTTTCTCAGATTCATCTTACTCTCATGACTGTCCTGAGGTATTTATCTTCAATCCAACTTTTGTTGGAAGCTTATCAATGTTCCTCTCGGCAATTTCAGTACTAGTTATTTTCGTACCTTGGATCTTCTCTTCTGGGCTCATTCCCATCATATCAGTCTTTTAGCATGTCATGTTCCAGGAGTGATGAATTTAGTTGCAGATCACTTGTCTCGATCCAACCAGATTCTTCCGACGGAACGGATGATGCATAATGAGGTTTTTCAGTGGATTTGCTCTCATGTGTGCGTTGGCAGTGAATGTATTCAGTCAGGACTGGACAACTTTACATCTGTATGCTTTTCCCCCGATTTGGCTATTGCCCTGGTTTCTGATTATGGTTCACTCCACTCCGTATCGAGTTATCTTGGTTGCACCATATTGGCCAGTTCAAATGTGGTTTCTGCTTCTTCGGTATCTACAGGTATGTCCTCCTCTACTTCCTCCACACTGGCAGTCTCTGACACAACCTCAATCAGAAATTCTCCACCCAGTCGTATGGAAACTCAATTTTCATTCTGGGAAGTTATGCGATCTTTTGCCCAACTTAAGGGTTTATCTTCCATGGTTTCTCTGTATTTAACTATATCTCGCCGTAGGCCAACCACAACCATTTATCTATGGAAATGGAATATTTATTGTCAGTGGTGTCTTAAAAGGAATTTCAACCATCTTCATCCTAAAGTATCTACCATATCCCATTTCATGACTTGGGTATTTGAGAGGGATCTTGTTTCACTTATGCTTTATATAAGGCATCCTTATCCACTATTTTCAGTATTCCAAATATTGGAAGGATTTTGAATCCACAGAACTGTCAGGTCTACTCAAAACCCTTCGTATTCTGCAACCCAAATGACCTTTTCAATTACAAAATGGGGATTTTACAGTTGTTTTGCATGCATTGTCTCATCCTCGTTTTGAGCCCTTAGCTTCGTGTTCTTTGTTTCACCTTTCTCTTAAATTGAATTTTTTGTTATTTGCTTGTTGACATCGTTGGTTGGAGTTGTTTGCAATTCCTGTGCTTTGGACTCTTTATCGTTCCACATTTGTCCTGCTTTACCCCAATAGGTCCTTTCTGTCCAAGATCCTTATCACCAATCCATTTGCCAGCCATTTCTTACCTTTATGACTGCTCCAATCCTGACTGTTTGTTATGTAGCTTGTACTAACTCATTTTGAGGTAGTAGGAGTCAATTGTTCACTGATTGGAATGAATGTGGGATATAGGTACCATGACCCCTTAATTCTAACCCCGAGTTGTGGAACCTGAGCTATCTGGTTGGGGCTGGCCTATACTGATGATCACTCATATTCTATTCCACCTTTGATATAGGAACTGAGTTCCAGGTGAAGAACATACCTGTTCTGGAGGTATTGCCATTCTTGTACCGTCTTTATCTTGGTACACTCCTGATCTATACAGATGCTTTCTGTATGGTTCATGCCTGCACCAGCCCCCTCCCTCCACCTTTTCAATGTGGGATTCTAGCTGTCAGTGGACGTAAGTATGTTTGGAAGTTAACATTTTCCTAAACTGAAAATGTATTTCCACTAATACTTACCTACACTGACACAGTCCTGCCCTACCTCCCCACAAAAGCCAGTTTATGTCTGGAAAGAAATTATCTGAACGAGGTGCTTATATACAGTACTTAGATAGAGGGTGCATTGAAGTTGGTGGAGAAATTTGAATTTGCCAATGGCAATCGAGTGGGGTATAAAAGACTGGAGCAAGCATTTTCAGTGCTTAGATGGGCAAAGAGTGGAACCCTGGAAATCGGGAAATGGCTATAGTGTCAGTGGAGGTAAGTATTATTGAAAATACATTTTCAGTTTAGGAAAATGTTAATTTTCAAGTAAAATGAGGATGTAAACATTAACACAAGATAAAAATTGTTGTCTTTATTAATTAATTATGTCTTCATCTTTTACAGACTCGAGGATGAGGACAAGTTTGTGTTGATATATAGTTTGTTCAAGTTGAAACTGATACATGGGAAGACACTTATATTTGTAGCAACTGTTGACAGGTGTTACAGGTAATATTGAATAATTAAAAATGTATGATTAAAATATCGATTTTTTTATTTTTTGGCTTGATGTCTTGGACAATAAATTAAGACTATATCATGTGACAGAAATGCATTTTGTTTCATATTAGATTTGGTTTTGTTTTCAAGTAAACTGTAATATTTTAAAGAATGTTGTTTACCAACACTGAGAATAATATAAAAGAATGCATAAATTTCCTAAAAGCTAATATTTAAGGAAAACTCGTTGTCTACCGTGGTTTTTGATTGTGGTGTTGAGTAATAACTTCATGAAAACCAGCTACACCTGAAAATTACAAGATCTTGTTTTTCTGTGCAAGATTGCTACAATTGATTAACCAGACAATTTATGTTAATTAGTTTGGTAGCAGAATATTTCATTGGTCATCTTCTATGGATGGTTCCTCTATGAAAGTGGTACACAAAACTGCAAAGGCAAGTGGGAAAGTACAGGACACACCTGACACCAAATCACCAGGAAACGCATATTTGCGAGAGGAAGGACTTTACGAGTTATTTAAATCAAAGATATGTATATGCATTATTCCTATTCTAATCTTTGAGAAGTATAATTTTAAAATACAGTCTGAGGACACACTCATCCATTCTGTGCAGAGAATTCTGTTTGCTTTATTCAAGGATTGGATAAGCAGACTTGTGACACCACATGCAATTTTGAATTGTTCAGATATTTTGGATTTGAATTTCAAAGACAGAAAACTTCAGTTAAAAAATGAGAACTTTGTAATTGGTTTTGAAGTTGAGTCATTCCTTGCAAAGCTTGACAAAGGAAGTCAGTTCTCTTTTTATGAAGATGTAAGAAATTACTATGAAACTCCATTGAAATATATGAAGGTCAAGTTCCTAGTTCAGGACACAACTTTGAAACATACAGAAGTAGCAAAGATATCAGTCAGAAAAAGTTGTTCTTTAGAATCTGTACTTTGTTGAAAAATTCAAGCACAACAGTGAATTGTCTTCAGCAGTAATTTATCACCTACCAGGATGATCCATTTGCTGATGTGGATCTTAGTGAGCCATCAGACAAGTTTTTGGTGTAGTATTGAAAAATGAAAGATGAGCTGGGCAACTTTAAATATGATAAACTCTCTGAAGTTATGAAGTCTATTCTTGTAATACCACACAGCAATGCAGGTTGTGAGAGAGTTTTCTTGCTTGTTTGTGGATCAATGTCAAACTCCACCTTATAATCAGTGCTGATAAGGAAGATGGAGATGCCACAAAAACCATGTTTCTCACAAGAATTTACAGATAATTTCCTAAAGAAAGCCAAAAGTGCTACTTATAGGGCTGTTAATCAGTAGTACACAGAATTTGTTGGTATTAAAAGAAAAAAATTAGTAGTGGCACCATTACCATTTCTTGCTATTTTTACCTTGTCCTGGTAGGGATTACTATTTTTCAAATTTTAATGTTGACAGATCTGTGATGATTGTTTTTATTGCTTTGTGTTCAGTTCATTTGTTTCTTAGCACAAATTAGTTAACTTTTGTACAACTAATTGCTTCTTAATTTATCTTGCCAAGCCTCCCATTACATAGCAGAGCTACTAAAATTACTGTTTTAGGGAAATTAAAAAGTGTGGTATTTTCAGGTAAGTCCTCATTGCTAGCTAGTGTTGGATGTAGATTTAAATACTGAATATATTTGCAATGTTTACCTGAAGTGAACAATGAGAAATTTGAGGACGTAATTTAAAGTAATTAAACAGTATATTTCAGTCTTGATAATTAGAACTATGCTCTTCTTGAGCAGCATAGTTATAAGACTATTATTGAGTGTGAGAGGAGAACATTGTATGCTTTCAATTTTGGATTATCAATGCAAACAAAGCAAGTCCATCTCGTTTCATGGATTCTAAAATATACTATATAATACTATACACCTCAGAAGAGTCATACACAATACTTGAAAAACAGTACAAAATGAGAAGTTTTTTAAATGTGTCACAAAAAAGCAAAAATATCCATAAGCATGGTGCTCTGTATGAATTTAGAGAAGAATGTTCTCAGGAAGATTGTTTTACTTTCACCCTCTCGCCACAAGCATCCTTTTGTGTGTGCACATCATGGGGCTCAGTGAGTTACATTCAAAATATAATTAAACTACTTTCTTATCATGGTATACAAATAAATAAAACGTAGCCAGTTATCCATATGTATAGCTTATAATTTTAAAGTTCGTAAATTTATTTGGCTATATAAAAAATATCCTGAATTTCCCCTAGTATAAGAATTGTGACAGCATTTTTAATTTTAAGATTTCAACTAGAGTTTATTTCACTGCAGTTATATAACATTTTGAAAAACTGAAGTATTTGAATGGAGAAACCACTTTCAAACGACAGATGTTTGAAATAAAAGGAGTTGCCTTATGCCACCATCATTTACAGACAGGTATATTCACTACTTTTAAAACGTTTTCTATTAATCTGCGGCCAGTCATCTTTTTTTTTGTTATATAGAAATTAGAATGAGTTTGATTTGAGGTTGAGGTTTAATCAGTGTATATTCCTTGGCTTGTTAAAGTCCAAGGTTATTAAATGGAACTTTTCATTGAGTGATGAGATAAAAATTAAGCTTTAGTGGTTTTACTTTCGTTTTTCATGATTCTGTTACGATATCTTTGAGGAATACTATCCTGTACATTCGTTACACTGGTGTGTGATGACTTATAATTGATTTTTATACATTTTAAAATATGGTGATCACTGTAATGTATTGTAAATTGTAGGCTGTTAGTTTGTATGTGTAAATAATTTTAACATTTTATGTCATTGTTGTTTGATTTTAGATTAAAACTATACTTGGAGCAGTTTGGAATAAGATCATGTATTTTGAACTCAGAACTTCCTGTTAGTTCCAGGTGTGTATTTTTCAGATTTTCATTTTAGGCTTAATCACTAAAACAATATTCTTGTTGTTTTTTCAAGTGTGATGCAATATTATTTATACCAAAATAAAAAAAAAATACTAAATATTGTAATGATTCTTTTTCTTTATAGCATTAGAGTTTTTTCATTATCATCTTAAGATAAATTTTGTACTTTTATTATTAATAAAAGGTATGTTCCTCTGTTCCTGAATTTTTTTAATTTAAATATATATAGAATTAGTTACGTTTTTTATTTTATATAATTGGTTTTTGGCTTGACAAGCTCCGTAAGATATAATTAATCTTTAGTTATGTTCATGAAAATGATAAATCTAGGAAATTACTTTGTGTTCAGTGTTTCTTATCAGTTTAAACAAAAATTTTCCAGTAAATATCAAAGCACATTGAGTTTGGTATTGTTTGTTATAAAATATTAAACTATATTGTTAGAGTCACAAATTCAGTGATTTATTCCATTATACTAATTTACAGAAGCCACTTTTCAATTAAATTTTTGCATGGGTAGTCTTTTTTTAGTTTTTTGGAATATGCTGAATATCATTGTAGGTTATATTAAAGTTGATGTATTT